TGATTGTAATTTGACTTGTCTACAGGCATAGGATCAACTTTGCCATCCTCTCAATCCTTTTATCACCTATCACCAAGCGTTTTTAACCTCCTCGCAATCAATCTTAATGTTCGACTTGCTTTTTAACTTTTACGCATTCTAATAGAAAGCTATCTTCCATACTTTGGTGAAACCATCCAGTTAATCGAAATGGTTCATTTGACACCTTTCGCTTACTTCCTTTCAGGTCTTGATAGTCCTCTTTCGACCTCTTGACCTGCACTTCCGTATTAAGTACTACCAGAACCAGCGACGTCAAACAGCCCGTGAGAAGGAGCGGCGAGACGCGCATGTCTCAACCGAGCAACAGCGCCGACGTCGACGCGCTGTCAAGGCGGAGGCCTCGGAGGCGGCTGCACGGGCCAAAGCGCAAGCCATGGCTCGTGCCCAGGCAGCTCAAGCGAGGGCTGCCAAAAAGGCGTTGAAGGCACAAAAAACGCAACAGCAGAGGCGGGTTATCTATCGGTGAGTTGACGTTAAAGGAAATGTTAGCTTCCGAGTTAGTTCTGGATGTTATTCCGGAATGCAGTGAACTGACTGCCTCTTCGGTAAGCTTCCAACGAGATATCCTCCTCTTCCTCCTCCTCCATCATCATCATCATCATTCCGACTTCATTCCTGCCTTGTGCGGATTTTAATGAAGTTATTCTATGTGGGGTTTCGTGCTGAAGTCAATTTTTTGCGATTCATTTTGGACAGTCTTACCGCTAATTTTGCACAAATCACGTCCGCTTGAACAAAATGTATCTACGTGACGTCTGCACATCCTGGTTCGTGCCATAATCATGTTTACACCGATTAAAAATAAGCATTACAACTAACTAGTGGCGCTGTTGGTCATTCCATTCGCACACGTGAACTTTTTCGGTTGCTAATTACGGCCAGGCAGATCGTTTAACATCTTGTTTCCATGCCGTCTGGTTTTGTGGCGGTCATGCGGAGGTAGACAGCATAACAAGGTGTTGGTGTTATTGATTTGGGAATAGTCCGACACCCCGAGGAATAAGGAGGGATTCCTGGGGCTCGGGTATTGAAGTGTGGAATTTGGGGTAAGATTTCTTGATCCAACTATTACAAGCGAATCGGCCACCAAGAGGAATCGCTGGTGTTCGCTTGAGTCCAAATGCCGAAATTCACCGATGTAGAAGCCTCATC